TAAAAAATAAATGTATTTTTCATCATCATATACTGTTTTTGTCACTCGAATGAATTTTATTATTATTTCAAGGTTCTTCACATACATACACCTTAAGAGATATCAAGTAGGCGTAACATGTTCTCAAAAAATTAGGGTTGATACGCAGAAGAATTTTGAGTCAGAGATTTTGCTGGTTTTGGCACGCACTCACAAAAAGGTTGCCCACCCCTGATGTAGGCTTTGTGAGCTGCGTGGTCTCTGTGCTGCCGCAGTGCAAAAGCAGCCACGGACACCAGGGACACCACGCCAGTGCACGGAGTGGCTGGGCTCCAGAACTCAGATCGGGTGAGCAATGGATTTGGCCCAGGGACCTTGGGCTGCTGACCCCCTTATCTACAGCTTGTCTGCCCACAGGGATGTAAAACACACAGGACTCACCTGATTTCCTCAGTAACCTATGGAATTCCAACATCAGTGTATGAGACGGTACAATCTGATACAAAATCTGGAAGAAAGGATAATCTTGTGATATTTGCACATTCAAAAGGCATTTCTCAAATGTCAGCTTACTTTTCAAATAAAGTTCTTACTCTCGAATAGCCCTTTAGTGAATGAATCACGGATTTAACAGATACTTAGCTTTTACACAGTTTCAATTCGGGTATAGAGAGGATTCTCTGTAAAGCTATTGTTTAAAAATCACTGATAATAACTAGATAATCAGAGGTACAGATGGAGACTTTTTATTTTCTCCTTATACATTTTCTATACTATTTACCACACTTAAAAATTCAATTTCTTTTCAGAAGTCAAAACTGAGAGAAAAAAAATAAAGGAAAAAATCTATTTCACACAGGCCCAGCCAGTGTGACTCAGTGGTTGAGTGTCGACCCATGAACCATGAGGTTCCCGGTTCGATTCCCGGTTGGCGTACATGCCCGAGATGCAGGCTCGATCCCCAGTAGAGGGTGTGCAGGAGGCAGCTGATCGATGTCTCTCCCACCGACGTTTCTATCTTTCTATCCCTCTCCCTCCCTCTCTCTCTAAAAACCAATTAAAAATCTTTTTTTAAAAAATCTATACCTTAAGCACACTTATCAGTTTCTCTCTTGGTGCCTTCTCCCTCTTCAGAAAGTTGTATAAGTAGACGTGCGCGTTCGGATTGGATGGGAACTTTTCGTCGTAGGCATAATTAGTGAGGACCTCTCGGGCCCCATCTTGATCCCCATAGAATTCCAGCATCTACATAAAAAAAACACACAGTATCTTAGCTAAATTCTGTCAGACAGTTACATGAAAGATAATGCACAAGTTAATGATGGGCACAAAAACGTCATAAAACTGAAAAAGAGCATTTGCTGTGGGGTATGGTGGTCACGCCCGTTTCTGCTCTCCGCAGCATGTTACAGCCTCTGGGGAGGGCAGAGGTCGCTTACAACAAAGGCCTGCTGGTTTCCCACTGTATCCTTATCCTATTTGTTACTGAAAAACGCAACAACTTCACATAAGAACTGTTCCTATAAGAAATGAAGCGCTTACAGCAGAGCACTCTAGGCTGGAAAGAGAACACAGGACGTCACTCGCCTCGGTGCCCTACGTAACGTCAGCCACAGAAGGGGTGCGTGGGAAGTACAGTCCCTTTCATCCCACTCCAACGTTACCCGGAAACTTCCAGGCTCACCAGCATCCGGCCTCAGAGATGCTCTTCTGACAACACAATGACCACTTAGCACTCAGGAAGCATTCACAAAGCCAATTAGTGTGAGGGTTTATTCAGTGCCTCGGGCCAAGGCCCCCTGTCCTTCCGTCATGACTCTGGGGTGACAGCCGTTATTCTTCACCCGATATATCGTGACCTAATTTCAGATTTCTGTCCCCTTCCATTCTACAACCCATCGAGTCATAAAAGATCTTTCTGCTTTTCTTTTAAGCTCGATAAGAATAATATGGAGTTGACATTTACAACTATATTGTGATTTATTTTATAAATACATGGCCATGACATGTTATCCAGCGGTAAACACATACAAAGGTAGCATTTACAGTATACTAGTAAAATAAACAAAAAATGTTCAGACCAAAAAGAGAGACTTTTTTTTAACAATTTCTAAATATTCGTTTCCTTCTGATCAGTAGAGGTTAGGCTTATAGTAAAAAGGAAACTGATAAAATGTTATGAAAAGTCTACTTACCTCTACATAGCTCTTCACAAAAGGGTCCCAAACTCCAGGCGTCTGAATCAATGCAGAGAAGTTGGTGGACGTCTTCCAGCTGTGCTTGAACATGTTCTGAGATGCTGTGCTGTAAGCATAGTCATCCTCATCTAATCAAAGATCACAGACTTTTAAGAATCACTCAGAATTGACTGCAGAATCAGCAATCAGTAACTACCCACAAGAAAAGCTCAGGCCCTGACGGCTTCGCTGGTGAATTCAAACGTTGAAAGGATAAGACTGATTCTTCACAAACTCTTCCCCCCGCAAAAAAAGAACAGAGGGAACACTTCCCAGCTCACTCTATGAGGCCAGTATTACCCTCAGACCAAAAGCAGACAAGGACAACGCAAGAACATGAGGGACCAGTCTTTCTAGAAACACAGATGCAAATATCCTCAACAGAATACTAGCAAATTAAAATCAGGACAGTGGTTTTCTCAAGGCAATGGAAGGAGAGGCAGAGGGACGGGACTTCATGGTGACAGCAATGCTGTGCCCCTTAACCTGGGTGGCAGGTACATGAATGTTTGTTTTGTAATTATTCATTCTACCACACATTTGTTTCATACGTTTTTTTTTCTGTCTATATCCCTTCCATTCTATATCCCATTGAGTCATACAGCAGGTCCTCAAATAATATCTTGCGTTCAACATCATTTCGTTATACTGTTGATGACATGCCACAGGAACTTGACTCCTGTTTATAGCAATCAGCCTGTGGTAAAACTGGTTTTATCACATGTCATTTCACTTATTAAAGTCACAGAACCTATCAACGATGTTAAGTGAGCACTTACTGTATGTTATATTTCACAACCTTAAATGTTTAAAAGAAAGTTAGTCTTTCAAAGGCAACAACTAACAGACAACCAAAATACTTTTTGGTACCAGTGCTACATTTTAACCAAAAAACTAACTCATCCCCCCAAAAAAGAGGGATTGGTATTCTCTCCCCAGTAGATCAACTGAATAAATATCAATATGGACTTGGAAACGAGGTGATAAGAGGAAAGCAGGTAAGAAATGGTATAGAAAACTTTTTTAAAAAATTGATTTCAGAAAGGGAGGGAGAAGGAGAGAGAATCATCGATCGGCTGCCTCTTGCACGCCTCCCACTGGAGATCAAGCCCGCAACCACTGAGCCACACCGGCTGGGCTAGAAAAACATTTTAAAGCCAAAAGGCAGATCCCTGAGTAAGTCTACATTGGGTGTGAACTTCCTGTGGAAGGGGGTTCCCAGTTGCCAAGTGCATGAAATCCAACGAAGGCAGGCCACCGCAGCAGCGAGGGATGGTTCCGTGCTATATTCTTAGGAGCTTGGTTATACAGAACTAGCCATAGGTTTTTTCCTATTAAATAGATATTGGAGGCTGGAAGAAACGTAAAGAGCTCCACGTGTCATCCCATCTTCCTCTCCTGTTGCTACAGAACAACGAACAGGTCAGCTGTAGGAAGGGCCCGGACCATCTGTCCGTGGGGGAGATGGTGTCAATGCCAGGTTCCAACGGCTTCTGTCATCAAATATTTGCTTCAGTTCTACCTAACCACGTGTAAGAAAGTAAATATTGAACTGAAAACTTTCCTAATCAACATCAGCAAGCCTGTTTTTTTAAAAAAAAAAAATATCGCAGCGGGCATTGTAGCGAGGTGAACTGAAGAAACAGCAGACAGACACGGGACCTCGAAAGACGTGACTGGTGCAGACAGGGAGATACAACAGAAAACACACAGGGAAAAGCTTAGAGCAATTACAAAGCAAGAGGCGAAGAGTCCAATAACACAGGCTGCACAGGAGGCTGATCTATCGGGTTCAAGTGTAAGGATAAGGGGTCTACTGAGTCTTGATGGGCGGAGGGCATTCTGGGTAAGGGGATGGCATGAAGACCACACAAGATTATCACGATGAAGACCATGCCTCAGAAGGGTCTTGGGAGAGGTTGGAAGTAGGAAGAGGGAAGGGAATTCTGAGGTTAGTAAAATCACACGACCAGAGACCAAGGAAATACTACTTATCTCATAAGCATAATAAGAAAACACTGCTTACCACACACGACGCGATAAATACCAAGACGGAGATTTGGATAGAAAACAAGAACCCCTACACGTGCCTTTCCTTCCATTGTCTTGAGAAAACCACTGTCCTGATTTTAATTTGGATTAAAAAGGGGTTAATCCCCAAAAAAAGCTACAGAGAAAAACTAAACAAGAGAAAGGAAATGAAGACAGCCTATAGCTTTAAAGAACACAGATGCGGCGCTAGCACGGGATACCATCACCAGTAAAAAGCAAGAGAAAGGGAACTCAGTTTGAGATGGACACATGGTCAGTTTCTGGTATGATCCAGAGAACTGTCTGTGCCCAGCTGGCGTGGCTCAGTGGTTGAATGTAGACCCATGAACCAGGAGGTCAGTGTGATTCCCGGTCAGGGCACATGCCCGGGTTGTGGGCTCCATCCCCAGTAGGGGCATGCAGAAGGCAGCCAATGAATAATTCTCTCTCATATTGATGTTTCTATCTCTCTCGCCCTCCCTTCCTCTCTCTGAAATGAGTAAAAACATATTGGGGGAAAAAAAAAAGAAAATGGTCTGTTATGACCTTTGTACAGAGATGAAACAACTTTATCTTGCTCTATTCTTTAAACCAGGGGTCCTCAAACTACAGCCCGCGGGCCACATGCGGCCCGCCAAAAACATTTATCCAGCCCGCTAGGTGTTTTTGCCGCTTCTGTGTGCATAGTAATTTGTTCATAGTTTTTTTTTAAACTATAATCCGGCCCTCCAACGGTCTGAGGGACAGTGAACTGGCCCCCTGTTTAAAAAGTTTGAGGACCCCTGCTTTAAACATAGTATTCTGAGAAACAACATTATAAAACACACTAAACCCCATTCTAAACCCACAAGAAGAAACATTTATGATATGCAAAGAAAATGATCACCTTTCCTGGAAATCATATTTAAAAACAGCAATGAATCTAAAACGGTCATAAACTTAATTTATGAATCATCTAAGTTTTGTCTGAAAAGGCTTTTGATACATCGATATATAAAAGATGATGGAGAATTTTACATCCATAGAAACATCTGCTCTCTGTAACATCTGGATAAAGGTCGGCTGGGAGGTCGGGGATTCGATTTACTCCTTAAGGTCCCTGTGTCCCTCTGATCCAGTCTAATCCCCCAACAGTTCACTTGTACCCACTCACCAAGCTCGGACAGTTCCTTCTTCTTTTTAGACCAAGTGTAATATTGCAGGAGCCCTTTATAGGCCTGAACGAGGTTGATTAACGCCTCCTGGGAAGACGACTTTTCACCGTATCTCCACGTCTCCGCCTGGCTGAGATTTCTGCTGGCGTCGTCGAACATCCCGTGATGCAGAAGGTACAACGCGTGTTGCAAGGAGATCTGCAACCATAACGAGAACATGCGCCATGACCTGTTGGGTGCTTAGAACACCGTTCTCCAGAAAGCTCAGTAAATATAGGACGTATGTTGGGCCGAGATCTTGGCAGGACACACATGATGTAACAACACTGTCCCCGTCATCCAAAATTTCCATCTAGCAAAGAGGGAAGAGGTGTGGAGCAGCACGAGGTGGGTGAGAGTAAAATGATGTCAGCTTACAAAGAGAGGACCGCGCGATCTAGGGAAAGAGCCTGTGCCCTGGGGACAGACAGTCCTGGCTCAGATGCTGCCCCAAAGCTGCCTCAACAGAGAGGAGCCTGGTGGTTGCCAAGGGCTGAGGGTGGAGGAGGCGGGAAGATGTTGGTCAAAGGGCACACATTTTCAGTTATGAGATGAGTAAGTTCCGGGGACCTAATATACAGTACGGTAACTAGAGTTAATAACGCGGAATTGTATGCTCGAATGTTCCCGGGAGGGTAGAGCTTTAATGTTCTCACTATAACAACAACACAACGGTAATTATGTGAGAGGAAGGAGGTGCGAGCTCACCTTATTCTGGTAACTCTTTCATGATGCGTTTGTGGATCAAATCATCACACTGTACGCATTAAACCTACACAGTGATATATGCCAATTATATCTCCATAAAGCTGGGGGGAAAACGTTTTCACATATGCAAACTCCCAATTTGTTTAGTTCAATCCTTTTCCAAAAGTGCCGATTGCTAGAGAGCTCAAGCGACTTGAGCAAAGGATGAGAAGGTGGCCCCTCAGAGGGCTGGTCTGGGCAGCTCGAGACATAGAACAAGCAGGTATTTTACCTCAGAGGTCAAGGTAGGCGACAGGAAACGGAGAAGTAAATGGTTCTCACAGCACCGCTTCCTTTCAGCTTCTTATTTATCCAGGTCCCTAACACTCTGTCTAGGCCAGTGATGGCGAACCTTTTGAGCTCGGCGTGTCAGCATTTTGAAAAACCCTAACTTAACTCTGGTGCTGTGTCACATATAGAAATTTTTTGATCTTTGCAACCATAGTAAAACAAAGACTTATATTTTTGATATTTATTTTATATATTTAAATGCCATTTAACAAAGAAAAATCAACCACAAAAATGAGTTCACGTGTCACCTCTGACATGCGTGTCATAGGTTCGCCATCACTGGTCTAGGCCTTTACCTGACTACTTATCTCACTGCTGAGACCAGCTGTTTTGTTGAAATGAACACTGCAAAGGTAAATTCACAAAGCCCACATTCTTACCGTTAAGTAATTCATGACGCCAATATTTTTCATCCTGTCTGCAAAGGTATTAAAAGTCTCCACGCTGCTTTTGGGGTGATAATAGAGAATTTCACTTCCGAGTTTCCAAATAATCTGTCAAAACAGAAATTACTAACAAAAATGTAAAATCTTTGCCTTAACCAATATCTGCCTAGAAAAACTATTTTTTTCTGATTATTTCATTCAAAAGCAGCCTATAATTTCTTTTCCTAGATACCACCTCCATCAATATTTCACTACACATCACCCAGTGAAACTACTATTGTATCACATGTGATTAAAACTTTCCCACCGATTAAAATACCAGGTAACTATGATAGTGCCATTTTTAAATTAGTCGACTAAAGAAGGCAGGCAGTTGAGATATGCACTGAAGATAACATTTTTAACTAATACAGGAGAAAAACCAAATGAGAGCAATGGACTGGATACTTTCTGAGATCCCAGCGAGCTTTCTAAATACTGACTATATGTAACCTACACATTCTTAAATTTAGGACTCAAATTTAAGAATGTGTATCAGCTACGGACAGATTTTAATAGAATATATGTTCTCCCCAGAGCACCGCCATGCTGCTGACAGAACTTGGAGCTCTTCGTTTCCCATGGGCGTGAATCTCTGTTTCTCTTACCCCACTTTAAAGTAATTCAGTAACATTGACCTGAAAGTAAACTTAGGTGAATTTTAAATCCGTTATTTCTATAAACATACAGACTGGTGGTTTGGTGTAACCGTAAAACGCATCTTCCCAGCTTAGAGAGGTCAAGATCTCATTTGCAGAATGCCAGACTGGAGTATTTCGGAGCCTAAAGAGAACGTGGAGACTACCTATCACAGTGGACTTCAACCTGGTTGTACACAAGACTACCCGTTAAAAATACACACTGCAGCCCTGACCGGTTTGGCTCAGTGGATAGAGCACCGGCCTGCGGACTCAAGGGTCCCAGGTTCGATTCCGGTCAAGGGCATGTACCTTGGTTGCGGGCACATCCCCAGTAGGGAGTGTGCAGGAGGCAGCTGATCGATGTTTCTCTCTCATTGATGTTTCTAACTCTCTATCCCTCCCCCTTCCTCTCTGTAAAAAATCAATAAAATAAAATAAATAAATAAAAATAAACACTGCAGGGACTCAGACTCTGATTCAGACCTGGCACGGAGCCCCGGAATCTGCGTGTCCAACGAAAGCCCTAGACCAGTGGTTCTCAACCTTCTGGCCCTTTAAATACAGTTCCTCATGTTGTGACCCAACCATAACATTATTTTCGTTGCTACTTCATCACTGTAATGTTGCTACTGTTATGAATCGTCATGTAAATATCTGATATGCAGGATGGTCTTAGGCGACCCCTGTGAAAGGGTCCTTCGACCGCCAAAGGGGTCGCGACCCACAGGTTGAGAACCGCTGTCCCAGACGATTCCAATAGAGCCAAATAAGCGCCTAGAAACCCCTGATCCAAGCCCCTCACTTCACAAAACAAACTGGACAAAAAGAGCCTATGACTTGCCCAGTGATTTAAAGGTGCATGAAACGTTAGTCCATAAACGGAATTTTCAATCAATGGGAAAACTTTTTCTTTCGGATTGTTTTTGGCTCTATTAGATATCTAACTCATACACTGGTTACTGTAACCTGGCCGGCGTGGCGCAGTGGTTGAGCAACATCGACCTATGAACCAGGAGGTCAAGGTTCGATTCCCGGTCAGGGCACATGCCCAGGTTCCACGCTCAATCCCCAGTATGGGGCATGAAGGAGGAAGCTGATTGGTGATTCTCGCTCATCATTGATGTTTCTCTCTATCTCTCTCTTCCTCTCCCTTCCTCTCTGAAATCAATAAAAATATATTTTTAAAAAAATAAATAAAAGCTATTTGAGATTTCCAGGTGAAATTATTTCGGACAAACTGTTTTTTACTGAACAAATTTAACTGTATATGCAAAGCACCATTCCAGAGCCCTGCCCTACTGGACATTACATTCTACTGTAGAGAGACAGACAAGAACCAAGAAACATAGTAATTAAATTGGCAAAAACTATGGGAAACAAATGGAGTGGGATAAGGGGACCCGAGGGACAGCTGGAAGGTGGACAGGGGTGTACAGCGGCAACTGTAGCCACGTTGGGCCCCGTTGAAAATGTGCCTCGGCCCTGGCCAGTTTGGCTCACTGGATAGAGCATCGGCCTGCGGACTGAAGAGTCCCAGGTTCGATTCCGATCAAGGGCATGTACCTTGGTTGCAGGCACATCCCCAGTAGGGGGTGTGCAGGAGGCAGCTGATCGATGTTTCTCTCTCATCGATGTTTCTAACTCTCTATCCTTCTCCCTTCCTCTCTGTAAAAAATTAATAAAATATATTTTTAAAAAAAAGAAAATGTGCCTCGGAGGGGAGCAGCTAGAGTGAGTCCTGAAGACCTTTCCAGGTGAAGGAAACAGCTAAGGCAAAGGCAACCAGGCAAGTAAGAGCCTGTCCGAGTAAGAGAAGGAAGGCGGTGAGGATGCAGAGGAAAAAACAAGGAGAGTGACAGATGAGGTCAGAGAGGTCGGGGGGGTGGGGGCAGAGGGAAGACATGTAGCACACGCAGGCATCAGGAGGACGCTGGCTTCTACGTGCAGTGACATGGGAAGCCACCGGGTCTTCCGCAGGATCATGTTTTAAAAGGATCACGCTGAGGCCACATGTTCATTAGTCACAGAACTTGGGAGCAAATCAAAACCACCATGAGATGTCACCTTCACAACCACTAGGACAGCTGTACTCAAAAGACAGACAATAACAAGTGTTGGCAAGGATGTGGGAACCTGGAGCCCTCCCACACCGCTGGTGGGAGGGTCAAATGGTGTCATCGCTCTGGCAAGCAGTCTGCTAGGTCCTCAAGAGATTAAACCGCTCCCATGCGACCCAGCGATTCCGCTCCTGGGTACATACCCAAACAGCCCGACCACAACCTGTACGGAGTGTCCAGCAGCCTTATTCACAATAACCACAAAGTGGAAAGAATCCACATGTCCAACAACTGACGAATGGACACATGAAATGAGCTATGATCTATATAATGGAACACTGCTTTGCAATAAGAAAAAGGAATGACGTACTAATACACGCTACAATACGGGCAAACCTTGACAACATCATGTACAGTGAAAGAAGTCACTCACAGAGGCCACACATTATATGGTTCCACTTACATGAAATCTCCAGAATAGAAAGTCCTAGATTAG